CCCCAAAACCCCAAAACCCCAAAACCCCATGATACCATTATTGTTAAAATAAAGAAATTAAGATAATAGCAAAACGATATTATTTCAAGGTATTCAATTAGATTCACTTCAATCCAAAAGCTTTTGTTATCTGTCTGTTTAAGTTCCGCCAACTGTCAATAATGGCTAGCCAAAAGGACTTGCATCTGAGGTGGTTTCTCTTTTAATGGGTCTATCATTGCTCCTTGTCCTCTTATAGCCGCCATCATTGTCTTCTTTGGGTTTGTGATTGAAGCAGAGCTAGAAGATAACGAAGATAATCACAACAAGAAGGAGGCCCAACACAAAGTAAGTCAGGTACTCAATCATTGTCTTTGGTATCTCTTCATATTTAGATTCACCAATGAAGCCGACTCTCAAGTTATCATAGTCAAATATCGTCAAATAACTTTGCAAGAAGTTATCCCCTAAAATCCAAAGACCAGTTCCTTCTCTGAATGTCATGTTCATTATCATAAAATAGCAAGTACCGTTGAACTATGTGTAATTAAACAAATTAAGCTAATGTTACAGGCAAAACATATTTCTCCTTAGGGAAACTGTAGACATTGTTGCCTATTTGGATCTTAATGTTAGGGAAGTTCTGATAGATTTATTCAGTACACAGACACTTGAATAGGTTTTTCTGTTGATCCTGACCACAGATTAAATAGTTTTAGAAGTAGGTCACAAGTTGGTCAAAATCAGCTAAACTAAGTTAAATATGAAAGATAGTTACGATTTGGCATTAATAAATAAGAGGTGCCAGTATCAACGATTGCTATATTAGTAGACATTTAGAGCTATTTATCTCCTAGTCTAGCTCCAACTAACTGAACACTCCAATAGTTACTGTTGATGAGTTCATTCCAAGTAGGTGAGCCATAGTCCTCAAACTTCTTGCCAGCTATTGAAGCATTATATCCTCCAAATGTGAGTCTGCTTTTGAACTCTTTCTAAGGCTGGGGGAAACCGTCATTAGCCATGTAAAAACTGAACACTCTATTTTCAATAAGACCATTTTGGTATAACTCATCAATGAATAGATTGGGTCCAGATCTATAGCTAGAGGGAGCTAAGCCAATTACACCATCAGATTTCAAACCCCCTAGTTCATATGTCTCAAATACTGAGAGAAATTAGAACTCTTATAAGCATGAGCTGAGATTTTTCTGCAAGCAGACTTGATCTTGAGATAGATATCCTCTGACCTAGCCTGTGCCATAAGTCACCACAGTTGGCTCATCGCTTATTTGCTCGAAGAATTCTGATACTTTAGGGTCATATTTCTCCGATTTATGACAGATTTTACAGTCCTTCGTTGGTGCCCATAGCCACTACACATATAATTTAGATAAGAGAAATAAATGTTTTACGCTAGAGCCAGTATCGAAGATAAATGTCATATCTTCTTGTTGTGATCCCAGATAAAGAGTGCCGAAGTATTGTATATCTAGGTAATTTCTCAGTTCTTTCTCAAAGATCTACTCTTACTAATCATCTAATCAGAAAATGAAGATCAAAGTGTATGCTTACCATACTATTAAAGTATCAAACTGCCTGCTGCTGTATCTAAAAACTTCTGTGAGTAGGTGTTTTACTTTTTCTATAGTAATTAGTCAGACACTACACCCTCAATAGCTCTATATAGTCCACTCTTATCTATATTTTTGTGCTAGTTATTTGACATCCATTCATCCAGACCTTCTTCACCCTTAGTTTAGAGCTGATGAGCAAGGGAGTTATCAATCTTATTTAGTTCTAGGTCCAAGATAGCTTGTTAGGTTAGAGGAGTAAGACCTAAAAGCAGCAGAAAGATTTTTAGATTTGATAAATGTGAAAATTTTAACATAGCTTATTTCATCATTATTATTGATTTGATAATTTACAATATAATTAATTGTCTCATAGATATTATCAGATTAACACTAGGGGTTTTGGGGTTTTGGGG